AACCATAGGCTGTGTTTTATGGAAAGCATATACTCTATTTGTAGTCAGTCTGCTGCTCTCGTATTTAGGTGAGAAAAAAAATTGAATTTTGAATAGATGATGACAATGTAGCAGCTTCAAGACACTACAGAATATATGAAATCATTATCCTTTCTTAGCTATATGTTTCATAGAGGACAATGTAGACTGTATACATCTTAGCAGCGAGAGCACAAAATACAATGGCCTTTACGGAAGCTGCATATTTAAAAATATTGAAAAGATTATGAAATTACATTAAGATGTTAAAGCCCAAATGAACTTACCATTTAACCAAAATTAAACTGTGTAACCACTCATACCGTATATAAACAGTGTTTCAGTCTGATCACTTTTAATATACTGAGGATAAGGAGCCGGCCCCCAATTTTTCTGCCCAAGCTCTCATATTCCTCCAACAAACCCGGGACTGTGGTATTTGTCATGATGAAGAAGCTCAGGGAATAGGGAATAGAGAATGTCTGTACCCAGATCCCCTCTGCGACCAATGAACCTAGAAATTACAAGCATTTTGATGCTTCCATATTCAGAGCTGTCATTCCCTGGAAACTCTGGCCAGGAAAGCAGATAATCAAGCACAATTTGTGCTTGACTGGCTGTAGTGATGGGCAGAGGGGACATTAGGGGTCTAATAGACCCCTAATGTCTCCATAAAGAGGATCTGCCCATGCTATTGCATAAGAAACTTGTTAGCCCCTTTGTCATAGCAATGATAATAAAAGTTAAAAATGTAATTAGAAGTACATAAAAAAAATTAGAAGCAACCCATTCACCTTACACACACACACACAAAATGTAAATGCAAATAGGGGTGCACACATGTACGGAAACAGCAAATGCACCTGTGGAGTATTGCCACAAATGTCATGATGTCAATCACTGTAGAATGTAATTCCTGGTTAACTCAACATTTTTAGCCTGTATAGGCTTTTTATATGTCACCACAAGCTCACAAATTCACGGGCAACTACAATATTAAGGCTTGACATGTTTCAAAATCTATTTTCCTGGCACAACCCCGTCTTTTACATTTTATCAAAAACTGGGTATCATACTGTGTTTGTGCACTAAAGGTAATTGTAGTGTTTTTTTTCCAGAAAATATGTATTTGACAAAAAGTTGTGCAAATTTGCTGTAACATAAATAGTCGCTACATTGTATTCTACAGGACCTTTGCTTCAAGAAAATATGTAATTGTTTGGGAACTTTACAAAGTTTTATCGCAAAAAATGCCTATAAAACATTTAACAATTGCCCTGGACTTCAAGTGATTGTATGAAGTAAATATATTCCAGGTTCATAGAAAAAAGCATGCAAAGCCTTACAACTCATTTTCTTTAGAAAGTAGCCACAGCCGCTTGACCTCTCTTTACAAAGTAAAAAAAAAAAAGTTCAAAATGCACCCTGCTGAGTCAGAAGAAGCATGAGTTTTGCTGATTACAGAGCTCTCTGACTTATCAGGAGGCATGTCAGACCTCTGCAGTGAGGCAACTACTTCCCCATAGAGAGCAAGGGTTCTTCTCTGTAGCATGCTGATAGGGGAAAGACCTTTCTACTCAACCTGTGACTTCTTTTAAAAACCAAACAGTAAGACTATAAACACATTTTGTTTTAATGCACCTGAAATGTATTTAGTCAATATATTTAGTTCAGCTCTCACACATATATACCTCCTTTTTTGCGCTATTGTGTTGCAAACATGATTTTATTTTTTTATGCAATCCAGACAAAAAAAGAAACAAAATATATAAAAAAAAAAAAAACACACACACACACACTTTTTTTCTACTTTGATGATTGTCAATTTGGAAAACAAATTACTGTTACTGTAGATAAAAAGTATACATTTTTTTTCTTTAGTTTAAGGGCTCATGTACACTGCAGCTGCTAAACTGACATTCAGGAGCTGTTGAGCGTTTTTTTTTTTTCAGCAGCTCCTGAACTCTCCTTTATGTTTTCCTATGTGTCCATGTACACATAGTAATTTACAGACAGTTGAGTTTACAGGGTTTTTTTTATGCATCAAAAATTGCTTTCAGGAGTAGATTGTACCAGCGTTTCAAATGTCAAATGCTTGTAAAACACAGTTAGCCGCGTTTACAAGCATTTGCGTTTAGACACGTTTTTTGACAGGTCCATATCCAGATGCTGTCCAGAGTCTTTTTTCTTCATCAAGAATGCATGCAAAGCGTTTTCCATGTATTCAAATGGACCCGGTACACCAGCACAGTCAGTTTCCAGGTTTTGCGTGAAGGACAAAATGGGTAGAACGTACCGCATTATGCTCATGATGGAATTCATAGTGAATATAACCAGAAAAGACAGGTCATCTCAACACAAACTGCTCTCTCTGCTTCTGCGCTCTCTATTTCTCTCAAAATGTCTGAAATAGTTAATTATTTACTATTTTTCAGTGCATTCTTGGCATTTGGGAGGGTCTCCTGAGGTTAACTTTTAAAAACGCTTCTAAATGCAAACGCGCATAAATGCAGTATGCAAACGCGGCTAAACTGACATTGTTTTAACCTACATTTTCTAGCAGTCAGTTTCCAGTGATCAGAAGAGTTTTCCAAATGCCCTGTGTACATGAGCCCTACAAAGACACAAATTATAAATCTGATATTTCAATGTTACATATGACCTAAAAGCTTTTTTTAATCTTGCACTTTTCTAATTAGACATTAAAAATAATTTACGAACAAAATTAATCAAAACAAACCAATGTAAATAATAATGGATAAAAAAGAGAAATAAAAAAAAATTGCATAATAGTACATTATAGTTAAGGGGAAAAAGGGAAGAATGCGTCAGTTAGGCCCGATTAGGGTAAACTAAGGGTTGCCAAGAGGTTAAATAGGAACACATTTTCATGGAAACTTCAAATTGCTTTAACTGAAAGTCTCAATGAAAAGCCTAGATCACACTGGCATTGAAAGCAAATGTTTGAGGGACGTTTTTAACACACCTCAAACGCCTTTGCAAATGGTAATATGGAAAGCACACAGTGTTGTTCACATTATCAAAACATGAAGTATTATCATTGCTTTGCTTCAAAATTGAAGCCTCATGTTGAGTCTGTTGGAGTTTGAAGCCTTTTAACGCCTCCCATTCAACTCTATAGCACTGGTCCACAAACGTGCTGGCATTTTGAGACACGTGTGAAAAAGCCCTCACTTGCTTCTGCTTCTTCATTGCATCTGAACAGTGTTTATTATACTTTGTCAGATGGTCCATTTTTTGGCAGCAGCAGCTTCTGTCTTTACACAGCAACTCATGGCTGTCATTTTGACAGTTGGGAATTTCTGGCAAGTGCAAAGGTGGGGGAGGGACAGCAGGAGCAGCAGCAACTTATATGAAATTTTAATGGCTAATATTTTTATCTACTTTAAGGCGGAAGTTATTTTCTCTACAGATGTTGTTACGGGACTTAAAGGATAAGTTCACCTTTGGGAACATGTTACATGCTCCACCTGTTTTTAGGGTGGAACATGTAACCTGTTCCCATAGCTGCAGCCGCGCCGGCCGCCCCCCCCCCTCCCTCGGACAGATAATACGGGGAGACGTCTCCCCGTACTATCTGTTAAATTTGAAAACAGTATGGCTGTGCTTGGCTCCGCCCACATGGCCACGTCATTCACGACTTGCGTAAATTAATGAACTTCAAGTCCCGGGAGCCTTAGCGGCTGTCGGCTTGTAGTTTTCAATGAATTACCACGGAGCTAACGTTCCTGCAGCACGCATGTATAAACTCACTCCATATTCTATATGGTATCTGTAAAATCTGCCAAAAACACAAAAGTCCCCCACTGCTATCTGCCACAGTATATAAAAAATAACAAAAGAGCTTCCTAGTGCCACATCTTAATAATAGCAAGAAAAAAGGCAATAAAAGTAGTGGATTTTTTGGACACAGTAAGAGACCACACAATAATATACATACAACTATTTATTAGCATAAAAGAGTCATATACCATGTATGAGACTCACGATACATACATTACACCCAAAAAGGGGCAAAGGGGCAAAGTTAATTACAAAATAACTCCCTTGCATACAATATAGTCACCTAAAACATAGGTATCAGATACAGAGTAAGAGATCAAAAAATGGTCAACGCGTTTCGCCTGTACATTGGACTTCTTCAGGACCGTAGCTTGAATGTAAGTGAGAATAGTGCTAATGAAAGCACAGCAGACCTGTGGCAAAGTAGTCTGGGTAGTGGGCATAGGAGACCAGGATATGGGCAAGCCAAAAAATATTCAAGGGTGAGATATCTTGTAAATAGATCAATAGTCATACACCATGTCCACTTCCCAGAGAGACAAAAAACCCTACATGGAGGTTAGGAAGGAAAGAAAAAAAAAATCTTGTGGTGAAAAAGACCAGATGTAATGGCAGGATCAATGGCCCAATATCTGATATGGTGCATTAAAAAAGGGAGATATTGCCTTAATGTGGAATCCATATAAAGAGAAAACACAATAAGTTTGCACCAAGTCTCTATTAGGCCGCCTCGTGAATCTATAGCGCGCCACACACCACTGGGTACCCCCGCCGCGTGTGAAATCACATTACTTTAAGTGAAAATTGCACGGTCATGCAACGCTGCAGCCAAATGAAATTTGTGTCCTTTTTTTCCCCATGAATAGAGCTTTCTTTCGGTGGTATTTTATTGCCTGTGCATTTTTTATTTTTTGCACTATAAAAAAAAAAAAGGCTGACAATTTTGAAAAAAAAAAAACAATATTTTTGACTTTTTGCTAGTAAACATATTCAGTAAAAAAAATTAAAAAATCAAATTTCGTCATAAATTTACACCAAAATGTATTCTGCTACATGTCTTTGCTAAATAAAATCCCAATATGTGTAAATTAATTGGTTTTACATGAAAGTTATAGCGTTTATAAATGGAGGTATATATACTGTAATTTGTTTTGTTTTTTTACTAGTAATGGCAGCGATCAGCAACTTATAGCGGGACTGCGGTGGGCATTCTGACACTGGGGGGAACTGACTTGGTGCCACTGACATCCCCAGTGACACCAATACAGTGAATCAGTGCTAATAAAAAGCACTGACACTGTACTAATGGCACTGGGCAGAAAGGGGTTAACATGTGGGATGATCAAAGGGTTAACTGTGTGCTGTGTGCTGTTTTACTAGGGGCTGTGTGTGTGTGCTGTGTGTGCTTCACTGTAAGCACACTGCTTTGGATGGCTGTACTGTGCACAGCCATCCAAAGTAGTGTGCACAAGCTGACAGCAAGGAGAACTGTTTTGTTTACAAAGTGGCTGTGCTTCATACATCTGCACTAAATACAGTACCTAATACTTTTCCATTAGAAGTAGCATATCATGCCTCTCCATTACATGAAGTTCCTCATCTCTTACTATTACATATAGTGCCTGATACCCTCTTTATTACATAGTGCCCCATACCCCTCTATTACACATAATGACTCACTTTTGTGTATCTCAGGATGTGCAGCTAAGAACACACCCAAATTCATAGTTTTGCTCAAGACTTGACGTGGACAATCCAGGTGCTAGCTACTATAGTCCATCTCCAACCTCCATAAAAGATATGAAAAAATATCAGCCACACCCCAAATTTAGCTCATATTGCTGTAATTATTAATTCTCAGCAAAGTACCTGCATACAACAATGTCTCCACTTGAAAATCAACTTTCCTTAACAAGTCAAGTAATGTTGGTTTTCGGGTGGAAACACTGCTGTATGGGGTCACTTTGCTGACAATAAATACAGCAAGATGAGCTGAGTTTGGAGTGTGTCTGTTTCTATGTACACATATAATTACAAGTTATTCAAAGAGACAAGCTTTTTTAAAAAAGCTTGGGGTGTATAAAAAAAAATGTGTTACTCCTGCCTGGACGTTCATCATTATGCAGTCTTTTTTAAAACTGATTTTGCCTACTTTTCATATACCACTCTTTGTAAACTAAGTAGTCACATGGTATAGCTTGATACAGTTATGATAGCTATACAAATCAAGCCATTTCTACTCCTTTAATCACTTTTTAAAAACAGCTTTTAATGACGTGGATAATAGATTAAAGGCAATTTACTATTAACAATTTCTTTCCACTCTATTAAACAATCAAAACTGTAAAGTAGGTTTTTCTGATTTGTTTGTTTTTGCAACAAAAGTGGTTGAAACAGCATTAAAATGGTTTGATACCCAAAATTGATGTATAAGCTCTCTAACAGAGCGCTGGGGATCTTATGTTTCTCTACTTTTTTGAGCTAAAATATGGATTGGTGGTAACCTGTCAGATTGTATGTAATCTGTGTCCCATTAGTGAGATTCCCCTTTATTCCTAATCAGGAATTCTTAATCAGGAAAAAAATGTGTGGTATGTCTGGCTGGGCTGTGTGCAAGACGTGTAAATCTTGAGACTGGCTGCCCAGAATTACAAAGCTTTGGACGATAAACAGTAAATTTACATGTATTTCAACTCTATATTTAGATGTTTTCCTGGAGTTTCATTTTGGCAATCCAGGCATCTCTAGGTCAGCTGGTTTATAAATGTACCTAGAACAATTTTGTCAGTTACATTTAGTCGAATCCCAACCATGGGACCACCTGCCTGGAGTTTGCATGTTCTCCCTGTGTCTGCGTGGATTTCCTCTGGGTACTCCGGTTTCCTCTTACACTCCAAAAACATGCTAGTAGGTTAATTGGCTCCTGTCTAAATTGGCCCTAGTATGTGTACGTATGAATGTAAGTTACTTTAGACTGTACGCCACTTGAGGGTGAGGGTTAGGGACTGATGTGAATGTATAATATATATGTAAAGCGCTGCATAAATTGATGGCGCTATATAAGTACCTATAATAAATAAATCAATGTGTATTTTGATTATTCTTTGTACTGCTGTGAAAATAGTGTCTAATATCCTTGCTAATGGAATCTACATCTCCCGAGTTCCTGCTAAGCCACTAATGATGTGCTACAAACACTAATATGGTTGAAAGAAAAAAGGGGATGCTGTTAAAAAATGAATTAACATATATGTGAAAGAATTTAACTATATATAACATACCTATATAGCAGCAGTCCTAAATGTGAATTCCTAAACACAAAATCTTATATATTTCAAAAATGGACCGCACTAAGGTCACACATAGACAAAATAAACTTTGCAATCTTTAAAGTGATAACACTGAGCAAAATACAAATACAATATTAATATTCAGTCCCAACATGTGAATAATTGGTGCAATGGTGCTGTATCTTTAACTTGTTGCCGACCGCAGATAGCCGAGTGACGGCTGCACTGCGGCCGGCCAGTTCTGAGTAGACGTCATATGACGTCCCCCCCCAGAACGCGCTCTCCTGAGCGCCCCAGGGGGGCGCGCACCCGGCGATCTCCGTGATCGCTGTGTCCTACGGACACAGCTGATCACGTGATGTGGTAAAAGGCCAATCACAGCGGCCTTTTACCACCTGATCAGCGGCGTCCAATGACACGCTGATCAGAGGGAAATGCAAGTGCGGTTCTCGGCTGCACTTTCCTCACGCTGTCAGATCGTGAGGAAAGTACTGCCGAGAACCGGCAATTGTCAGAGCGGGGATCGGCACCGATCATCAGGGCACTGATGATCAGTGCCCTGATGATCGGTGCCCAGCAGTGCCTCCCGCAAGTTCCGCCCACCTGTGCCCAGCAGTGCGCCCACTAGCTCCGCCCACCTGTGCCCAGCAGATCACCCACCTGTGCCCAGCAGTGCACCCACCTGTGCCCAGCAGTGCACCCACCTGTGCCACTCTGCAATGTCACACACCTGTGCCCAGAAGTACCACCTACCTGTGCCCAGCAGTGCCACCCACCTGTGCCCACCCACCTGTGCCCACCAGTGCCACCCACCTGTGCACAAAAGTGCCACCCACCTGTGCCCACCCACCAGTGCTGCCCACCAGTGCCACCCACCAGTGCAGCCCAGCAGTGCTGCCAGTCAGTGCCACCAGTCAGTGCCCAGCGGTTGTGCCAGTCAGTGCCGCCAGTCAGTGCCCAGCAGTGATGCCAGTCAGTGCCGTCTATCAGTACCCATCATCAGTGTCACCTATCAGTGCTGCCTATCAGTGCTGCATATTAGTGCCGCCTATCCGTGACACCTCATTAGTGCTGTCTATCAGTGCCGCCTATCCGTGCCACCTCATTAGTACTGCCTATCAGTGCCCTTTAGTGCTGCCTATCAGTGCCCATCAGTGCCGCCTATCTGTGTCCATCAGTGCTGCCTCATCAACGCACATCAGTGAAGGAGAAAAATTACCTGTTTGAAAAAATTTATAATAGAAACAAAGAAACTTTTTTTTTTTTTTCAAATTCTTGGCAATTTTTTATTTATAGCGCAAAAAGTAAAGCGCCCAGTGGCGATTATTAAATACCACCAAAAGAAAGCTCTATTTGTGAGAAAAAAATGATCAAAATTTCATATGGGTACAATGTTGCATGACCGCGCAATTGTCAATCAAAGTGCGGCAGCGCTGAAAGCTGAAAATTGGCCTGGTAAATATGGGGGGTATATATGTGCCCAGTAGGCAAGTGGTTAACGGTGATACTCCATATTGAAAATGACAAGTGCATCACTGTGTTCACACTCGTGCCCCACATAGATGTAAACTCACCGTCTTTTCATGACCACCTATCTCTAGGTAAGTCACACTTGCTTTTCGGGACTATCCCAGTTTGCAATCCGGTCCTTATGGCAGATATTCCTTCGCCCTTATAACCGTGGTTGCTGATAGTAGCCAATAACTTTCCACTAGATCTGCATAAATGTTAGGCAACTCCTCCTCCACAGGCAGTATTTCATATTTTCAGTATAAATCAAAACAAAACCAGACATCCCATAGTGTGAAACTGTATAAAATTTAATATGGGGTCAAACAATAGAAATGCCACTCACAAAGAAAGTGCCTTTCCTGGCACTTGGTGTATTCAGCTTTGTATATTAGGTTCCCTAATGCATGTAGTATGTATTAACATGCATTAGGGAACCTTCCCCTTTAAGAACACCATGCAGTGATCTTTTTTAAGATGATATTATATATATATATATATATATATATATATATATATAAAATTAAATCGTTTTTTATGTATGTTTACAATCTATGTAGGCACTGGCTGTATTCAGCAATGTTGCAGTCATTCATATAAAAAAAAAAAAAAAAAAAAAGAATTGGAAAGTCAATTGGTGATTGAAGGGTATAAAATACCCTCTTCAATATGGTGGTTTTGTACTTCCTGAGGACGATCTATTGGTGGAAACTAGTCAAGGGTTTATGAAACAACTTCCGCTGATGTCACTTCCAGCATTTGGAACACATGCTGGAATGTGGCTGCCATCTTAATTCCCATTCATAAAATACAAGGCTGAATACACCTAGTGCCAGGAAAGGCACTTTTTTGTGATGGCATTTCTATTGTTTGACCCCATATTAAAGTTTTATACAGTTTCACACTATGGGATGTCTGGTTTTGTTTTGATATATGCTGAAAATATGAAATACTGCCTGTGGAGGAGAGGAATTGCCTAACATTGATGCTGATCTAGTGGAAAGTAATTGGCTACTACCAGCAACCAGGGTTATAAGGGCGAAGGAATATCTGCCATCAGGACCGGATTGCAAACTGGGATAGTCCCAAAAAGCAAGTGTGACTTACCTAGAGATAGGTGGTCATGAAATGACGATGAGTTTACATCTATGTGGGGCACGAGTGTGAACGCAGTGAAGCACTTGTCATTTCAATATGGAGTATCACCGTTAAAGATACAGCACCATTGCACCAAGTATTCACATGTTGGGACTGAATATTAATATTGTATTTGTATTTTGCTCAGCGTTATCACTTTAAAGATTGCAAAGTTTATTTTGTCTATTTGTGACCTTAGTGTGGCCCGTTTTTTAAATATATAAAACACTATATGGTGTCTGCAGCAGCACAGTAAGGTTTTACTGTATGTAGCATGGATTTAGCTAAACTACTTTGTTAAGTGATTCAGAACCCCACAAAACTTCTATTTTTTTAACACTGACAGCAAACAGAAATCTTTGGAAAGTTCATACACATTTATGAGCAGGAAAGACTTTTCTAAAGGATAAAACTCTGGATACGTGGAGGTGGTTGCAACTTCTGCTACCCGACTGCTGTGTGGTTAACATACTGTACATATGAACCCTAACCTGATGACATTTAGTTTTCCAAAGCAACACAGTATATTAAACAATTGCCATAACTTATTCATAATCTGCTATTTTTACCTCTTTTCCTACGC